GGAGCTTTTGTTTTGCAAATGATGTCTCTCTATTAAACATGTATTTTTTCATGCATAACTTGTGGTTTGTATTTTTTAAAAGAAAGTGAAGAAAATTTTGTTCTTCATGATTTAATTGGTGAATGGTGGCAGGGGGGGAGAGTGCAGCATGTCCAGAAATCCATTCATGAGGAAACTTTGATGTTAGTCCCTCATGAATGTGATTTAAGAGGGTTATAAGATGTTATAACCCTCTAAGGAATGGGCAGTTCCTCTTGCAATGATCACCCTCAGGACGGCTCTGTAGCAGATGCTCAGTTGTGTTGTTTTTGAATTCACCTAATGTTGCACTTCCAAAGGCTAAATGCTAGGCTCAGTACACCACTCTGAGACCTGCTATCATTCTAGGGAAGGAATGAGAGGTTCAGGGCGGAAATTATGAAACTTTCTACAGTTTGATGCAGAGCTTTTGTGTAGAGTTGTGACTATTGTCTCAAAGATGTTTCTAAGACTTCATAAAATTTCTATGTACAAAGTGCAAATGCAGTGTCCCTTCAGGCCAGCTGTACTCTGTTTGGGTGGCTGGGGTAGGCTGTGATCCTTTATCCAGCCTTGCTTCTTGAGTCACCTGAGAGGACGAAAAGCTGCTCGAGTCACATGCCGACAAATGCTTCAGCATCTGTAACACCAGCCCGTCTTTAGCTGTGGTACTAGTACTAGAAAGATGAAAAGGCATTGGTTTTAGTCCTGCAATTGGTTGTCATTTCAAAATTGTGGTAATTTCCAGAAGTTTTGCAGGCAGAAATTGGTCATTTCACTTAGAGGCAAGTATCAAAATGCTGCTTGGTGTTACTGTTCCTTGGCATTGCTGACAGTTAGAGGGAGTTAGAATGTTGAGTTTAGCTGTGGCCACTTGCTCTTGCTGCTTCCTTCTGAATTGTGTTCTGCACCAATAGCTAGACTGAAAACAATGGAAGTGGTTCTTCTGATGCTTTTGCACGTATTTATACTTCTTCATTTCTACTTCTGGTTTTCAAGTTTTCATAAGATGGCTAGGAAGAGAGGGAATGGAGAACTGATGTTCTTCACTTGTATTGAGACAGGTGAGAATATCATAAGGGGTGTGTGTATAAGGATGTGACTCAAAGACAAGGTAATTGCAGCGTGGCAGCATCCAATATATTTGCGTTGTCTTAGTATGGTGTTTGCAGCAATGTTTGCTTCGTGATCCAGTGTGTGGGAGATAAAGCAGATGCCATGCACTGTGCAGAGGAATTTATTTATACAAATAAAAGCCTTTTCAATTAACCTCTCAGTTAGTCTGGGATCTATAGCAATGTAACTACATCTCAGAAAAAGTTTTTCCAGTGATGTGAATCCTAGTGTGAGGAGAGGAACTGGAAGTTGAAGAAACTCTAAGAATCAGTGTATCAGCATTATGGCTGTACTTCCACCTTTTCTTTTTGACATGTGTGCAAAAACAGTATTTAATCGCTTGTCCCTTTTTTATTTTGTTGTAATGCACATTCATGAACATGGTTACATGTCAGGTTTTCATACCAACTCTAAACAAGTGCATTAGGAATCAAGGACATTGCCTCCAACCACTCTCTGCAGATTCATCTGGCTTTTATGCTTCAGCATTTGCAGCTTGGTCTTGCTTTATATGCTAGACGAGGTTTATGCCAGCCTAATTGGTTGCTGGCATTCCTTAATTTCACAGCTGCTGTATTCAGCTGTGTACTAGAAAAATATAATGGAATACTGTCTACAGAGAGCAAGAGGCAATTGTGAAGATGTAAATTTGCTCTCTGGACATTCAATAACATGAAGACTTTTAGTATCACATTAAAGATTTGAGGAACAAATTGTGTAGATGTATTGCCAATTTAAACATTATAGTATACATTTTCTATTTAAACTGAGAATATGTAGAAGTTAGACATTATTTTTAGTTTTGTTAATATTGTTTACATAATCCTGACTTCCTTGGCTGGCGAGCAGATGAGGATTGGCGAGAGATGGAAGATTGTGATTCTTTTGTTAAGGGATGTTGGCTTACTGTGCTTGTGAGAGCATTCAGTATTTTTGTTCATTCAGCAGCCTGCTTTGATCTCCTTTCACTTGTTACGGTGAAGATTTAAGCCTTTAATTTTAAAGTGTTATTTCTTTGCTATCAAAAAGTAATACAGAGCACAGGAACAGGTAAAATGCCTTGCTTGGTGGCTGTGGCTGAAGATATGTCAGCTTTCAGCTCTTACTGGTGGTCTTCCCTCAATATTTAGCATGTTATCAGATTTTGTAAATATTATAATTGTTACATTGTATAGAATGTTTCCTGAACTTATATTTTTTGGATTGATAACTGGGCCAAACATTAAATAGAACAGTAGATTATACCAGTGTAAGCTTGATGAGTCTCCCAGTTCCTACAGTGTTGAAAAGGTTTAATGCCCTTGTAGACCTGGAGTGTGGCGTTGCTACAGGAAAGATACAGATTCTGCTGTTTCATTGCTAGTAAACCCGAAAGCTGATTAAAACTTTTTGAAACAGTGGTTTTGTACAAAATGAGCTCATTAGAGTTATTAACTACAGAAAAGTTAGTGGAAAGGTCTTTTCAAGACCTTGCACAAGGAAAACTTTTATGGAAGTGCTCGTCTGTGAAAATTCTGTGCAGGCATGAATGCCATGCCCTGTGAGCCTCCTGCAGCATCGTCACCGCTAGAACTAGGCCATGGTCCTCAGGGCAGGATGAGGGATTGAGCAGTGAATGGGTGAGGAAACCAGAGGAAAGCCTGTGTATCTGGGGCAGGCCAGGGCTGCTACTCCTGCCGTGCATCTTCCGAGCATTCGCTGCTGGTCTTTGGATTCCCGCTGAGGGGTGCCCCACGCCACTGCTATCACCCTGGTTGTCGCTTGCTTTTCCTCAGCACATGTTGATACACATGCTGGAGCTTAAAACTATGACCCTCATGCATGTTGGCTGTTATGTATGAAGTGAGTAAATCATGATAAGGTGTTTGTTATTATTTACTCACCCTGTCTTAACAGCTTATGCAACAACTGATAATAATACAAATTGATACAATTTATAGGTTTCAGAAAAAGTGAAGGAATCCAGACTTTTTCTGTAGGTTTGCACAGGCAGTGTAAGGAATTGCAAAGCCTGGGGCTTCAAAGGGAAAGATACTAAGGAAATAGAAGTCCAGGAGCAGAGGGAGGATGTGGCATTTTGTTTGTTTTTGTAAAGAACTACTTAATATTCTTCAATGGAAGATGGAAGATTGAATGTATGACTGTACTTTGGGTAGGGACAAGTCCAGAGGTTACAAATGGTTAAGCAGGTATGTTATGATCGCAGTAAGGTAAGTACTATACATTCGAATACTCTGCTGCCCAGGGGTGCTAGCTACTGAGTTAGTCCTGGGTTTGTGATGTTTTGACTGAGTTTCAGTTATTCTGTTCTTCTTAGTTTTATACTAGAGTACATAGATTTACCGTTACCTTCTGTGAGCCTTGCAGCTTCTTTATTTACTTATACTTAACTGGGAATGAATGATTAAATAGCCTTTGAAATAAAATAAAATATTAAATATATAAAGCTCTGTCACATGTGTTGTAGAGCAAGATTATCTGGGATTTCACTTAAGGTTGGTTCTGGAGTTTGAAATATTCACTGAAGTGTGAATGGGCAGGGAGGACGTGGAAGGAATGGGCTGATGTGACGAGTGCTGTGGGTGGAGAGGGGCAGGGTCGTCTGCTGCCCTCGGAGATGCCGGGTTGCTCAGATAGCTGGCGCGGAGGCTGCAGAGGTGCCTGGGCTGGTGGCCGAGGGAGGGAACTGCACTGGCCTCCGGCTGCCCTCCTGGTGGTACCTGCAGATGTGTGTGGGGGCTCCCTGTGAGCTAGACACAAATTGAACCTGTGTGATTGTTGAGGGAGTTCCTGCAATCTTTCTGCGTGCATACAGCTTTAAGAGCAAGTGGGACTTTTTTTTTTTTCCAGAGTTAATATTAACAAAACATGCTTCTAGCGCTCCTTTTTACAGCTCTTTTTCCTTCTGAAATATAATATAGAGTAAGAAGTTGCTTGTTTGTGTTATAGTTATCCAGAGGAGAGTATTAGACGAGTGTTTTTTCTCATCTTGGTTTCTTTAGAAACCCCAATTCTTGGTACTCTCAGGGCAAAGAAATGATGTGAAATCAATGTGACACTTGGGTCTTGATCCTTTTGTGTCAGTGCAGAGCTGATCTGTTAGTACAATTGCTCCTCACTAACGTGTAGATAAGGTGTGACAGATGACATTAAAAGAATTTGTGATGCACTGTATGTTTAAGATGAAAATATTTCTCCCTACAGAAAATTTCCTGTTGTACTTTACCGGGGCTTTCTAACTTTGGCGCTTTTGTTTGAGAAGACTTAGCAATAGCAACTCAATTCCAGTTTAACTCCAGTAATTTGTGTTAACTATTGTTTCTACAATGATGATCTGAATTGCTAAGACAGGGAATACGATTTTACTTAAGTGATCAATCATTTAAATGTTCATCAGAAATAGATATCAGAATGCAATTTCAATGCTTTTCTCCTACGTGAGAACACTTAATGTAGCAGCCTGCGAAGGGAGAGAGAAAAGAAAAGGAAAAAGAAAAGGAAAAGTAAAGAAAAGAGAAAAAAGCCTTTTGTGTGGTGCATCATAGTAAACCTTCCTGCCCATTGGAGATTGATAGTGTTGGAATTGCTATCAAAACTTGTCAAAGAAAGAAGTGTTTAAACTGTGTGTTTTTCACAGGGTAATCTACTGGCTTACTGTCAGTTTTCTGTTTCACTGTCTCATTAGAATTTCCCTTTGTGGATCAGATTTGAGTCAATTTATAGTAAGTGGTCAGGGATCATTTTTTATTTATTTATTAGCCCTCCTTTCTGCTTTTCTCTTAGTTTACCAGTACGGGGATTAAATAATTTCTGAGAAATTTTTCCACGTATTAATGGTTATTTGCGTTTACTTTCTAGGTCGAATTCACCAAGCTATGGTAACGTCTCTAAATGAAGATAATGAAAGTGTGACTGTTGAATGGATTGAAAATGGAGACACTAAAGGCAAAGAGGTAAATTCAATTATTTTAAAACTTTTCTCTTAAAAAAGAGAAAAAGTTGCATAGTGCTTCAGAATTTGCACTGAAAGAAAAAAAAAAAAAAGGAAAATCTTTAATTTGTGATTCTTTCCTTCTAGAGTGTTGGACAATCCTCATTCTTTGTTGTATGAAATTTGACTTCCTGAGATCTGTCATAGGATTCAGATACTGCTTTTCATCTATTGATTTTGAACCAGATTAGAAAGGCTGTTCTCATTATCCCTTTTTTACAAGGAGAAAAATCAAATTGTTGAGGGGGACAATGACTTTCAGTTACAGACAGGAAACTAGTGGGAGGGCTAGGTTAGAAGTCTAGTACGTGTATTATTGTAGAACGGAACTTCTGGTTTGTTTATTTTTGTTGCACAGTAATTTTCTAGCCTTGTTTTCCTTGTGCAACTATGTCTCTGCATGTCCCAGTTAGGCTTCACTCCCCCTGTCCCTGTAAATTTCGGACCTGTTAGCAAATTGTTTAAGGTTTCCAGAAAACCAGGTTTCAATAGTTCTGAAACCATATTTTTGAGATATAATCACCGTTCCAGCCCTCTCCCCTGCACCCTTTTATAACATTATGAATAAGTAACACTTACAACAAAAATAAATAGGTGATAAATTTAGCATGGCTTCCACCTGTGCTTTTAGATTTTGAATCATCTGAGAAACTCCAAGTAGTTGAGGCCTCTCTATTTTATAGAATGTCTTTCATATGCTACAGTAATTGTAAATTTACACAGTAATCCTAACTACTTTTGCTTTAATTTATCCCTTTAGAAGATTGTGGATTATCTACTGGTCATTTTTAATTTACCTGCTTTCTGAAATGAGTATGTTTTCAAGCAATACAAAGGCCAAAGCTTAAGCTGTTTTTAGCAAATGAGAAGTCTTAGAGATTTAACCAATAGTGGTGTAAAAACACTAAATATAATTATTGGATATCCTCAAACATAAGAGGAGAAACGGAGAGGGTAACATTATCCAAAGACTTATTAAATGTGTGTTATGCTCTTTTAAACAGATTGACTTGGAGAGCATATTTTCACTCAACCCAGATCTTGCACCTGATGAAGATCTTGAGCCTAATCCAGAGACACTACCACCACCTAGTCTATCAGCCAAAGTAAACAAAATTGCAAAGGTTCGTGATGCCTACCAAATGTGCATGGTAAACTTAAAGTCCTCCTATGCATGTTATTTTCCTTGAATTTTTAAGTCTAACTTTTAGTATGTGGGTGTACTTGATGAGTGTTTTCTGTTTTTTTTTTTTTCCTGTGGTGGATAGGGAAAAGAGAAACACATTTTTATGAACTTGTCTGAGAAAGAGGGAATTGAGGACCAGTGTTTATATCACTATTTATATAAAGGAAAAATAGTGAAAAGATTTTTGAGGTTGTTGTAAAACAGTACCTATAGTTCAAGCACTCCTTATTCCATGCTTTTCTTGGAGAGATTTTTCAGCAATCACCTTTCTCTGTTGCTGGTGTCATATTATTTTTATTCACTGTAAATAAGAAAGGATGGGGCTGAACTTTACATTTTCAATGATAAGGTAATTAAATAACAGAGAACTTTTTCCTTATAGAGTCGACGAACTGTGGTCTCAGTTAAGAATGACATTCTTGCAAGAGATAATAGAGGTAAATGTATCTTTCTATTTCGTGAAGCTAACATTGTGGAAGTACGTCAAAGTATGGGAAAACATGCAGATGTAAAGTTCTACAGTAATTCTGCATTTTTATTTCAGTATGTACTTATAAGAGATGTAAAGTACATAACACATCATTCCTGAAATTATTCCTATGAATTTTTAGAAGTCGATACTGTGCAAATGGTATTAAGATGCAAGTGTCATATAAGCAATATAACATTAAGAAGGTTAAGATAAATGAAATGAAAGGACAATAGTTTGAAGTTCATTAATTATGCTACATTAAGTCATGTTTGACTTTTCCAAATTGAAGCCTGCTCTGTTTGCTTCAGCTTCACAGTGCTTTAATATACAGTAAATGATGCATTTAAAAGTTCTTACACATTAAATTTTCTAGCAGTCTCTGTATAAGAGTTCATTGAAAGACTACTTAAACCCCAGAGATTATTTCTCAGTCTACAATCAACAGCAAAAAGCTATATTAAATGCTGAAATATCACAGGAGGGTGGGTGAATGAAATATGTATTAGCTGAATATGGATGTAAAGTGTTTAGAATATAAGAAGGAATAGTAATTGCTTAGTAACTGTTGACATTTTCTCTCCAGTGCTTAAGCTTAACTGACTTCTGTTCATGATGGTAATGGGATCATAGAATCATAGAATGCTTAAGGTCGGAAGGGACCTCTAGAGGTCATCTAGTCCAACTCCCTTTGACTTTTCCAAATTGAAGCCTGCTCTGTTTGCTTCAGCTTCACAGTGCTTTAATATACAGTAAATGATGCATTTAAAAGTTCTTACACATTAAATTTTCTAGCAGTCTCTGTATAAGAGTTCATTGAAAGACTACTTAAACCCCAGAGATTATTTCTCAGTCTACAATCAACAGCAAAAAGCTATATTAAATGCTGAAATATCACAGGAGGGTGGGTGAATGAAATATGTATTAGCTGAATATGGATGTAAAGTGTTTAGAATATAAGAAGGAATAGTAATTGCTTAGTAACTGTTGACATTTTCTCTCCAGTGCTTAAGCTTAACTGACTTCTGTTCATGATGGTAATGGGATCATAGAATCATAGAATGCTTAAGGTCGGAAGGGACCTCTAGAGGTCATCTAGTCCAACTCCCCCTGCACACACAGAGTCACCTAAAGCATGTATCTTCAAACATTGTTGTTTAAATTAATGGCTTAATTGAGAGAGCACTGGAACAGGCTGTCCAGAGAGGTTGTGGAGTCTCCTTCTTTGGAGATCTTCAAAACCCGCTTGGATGCCACCCAGTGCCACGTGCTCTAGGTGTCTCTGCTGGAGCAGGGGGGTTGGACTAGATGACCTCTAGAGGTCCCTTCCAAGCTCAACCATTCTGTGATTCTGTGTGAATTCAAGCTAGTATAAGATTCCATTCCATCTGTTTAAACTTGAAAAACAAGTCGACTTGCTCGGCTTTGTTTTTGTTGCAAGTCTTCATATCTGTTTTGGGGAACCATTGAGATCACTTTCACCCCTCTGTCTTTTGCTTCTGGAGATGTAAACAAATCAGAAATTCATCAGGATGTGTGTATATTTCAATCTAAATTCGAGACATTCTATTGATGTGGTTTCTTTCTCACTTTCTGCCTTTTTATAATTTTATTTTTTAATGTCAACTTTCTTTTGTTTTGAAAGTTTTTCTGCTCTTGGCATTGCCTGATTGCATCAAATATCCATACAAGTTGTCATTTGTATTAAATGATCTGTTTGGTATGGAATAAGCCATGTAACTTGCATTTTGATGGGAAAAATGCATCTTACAATTCACATTTTGCTTAAGAATTTGTTGGTCTTGTAATTAAGCTTTTCTTAACATACTGTTCTGTTCCATATATTTAATTCATGCCATAATTTATATCTTCCATAATTTTTGGAGCTGATCTGAGCATTTGTCTTGGTTATCTGATTTTATTTATTTCCATAGTTGTCTCCATGTTGTATATTCTACTGACCAGGTTTCTCTCAAAAGTTCTCTCAAAAGCAATAATGGGTTCTCTCAAAAGCAATAATGAGAGCTACTGCTTTCACCTTCATACTCTTCCCGACAGACCGCTTTAGTACTGTGCGTAAGCAAATGGCCAGTGAACTGGAGTTGTTTTGAAGCAACTCTCCGAAAAACAGCTTAAAACATTCAGCTCTGCCAGTGAGACCTGCATGCTCACAGCTCCCACAGGGTTCACTAAGAACAGACATCACTCGGCACTTTTAGAAGCTGCCATCTTATTACATACAAAATCAATGCATAGATTTAGTTAGGTATATCAATTGTATACATCTCCTGTAATACTGTATCAGAAAGTTTTGTTTCTTTCTCTTGTAGGATGTGCTGCACTTCATTGCTTTGCATTTATATCGCTCTACTCCTCCAGAAGTTATAGGTTAAATGGACTGGAACCATTTTGAAATTGTTAGAGATGGTGAAATAGCAGGGCCTTGTTTCTTACTATGTTTTGGGGTATTATCACAGCATAAATAAAATTTCAGTACTTCAGACTGTGGTACCACAAATCTCCAAGGACATATTTCATTATGTGTACATTATAAGTTGTATTTATAACATCAGTTTGTGACATTGGTATTTAATAATTCTGTTGTGTTGAGATACAACATTATTAAAAAGACGACATACTGAATGTCTTTATTAATAGACTTTCCGAATGTATCACTTTATTAATGTAGTGAATTGCTGGTTTTTGACTGGCACTTTGTTTTTATCTTATCATAATAAAGTATTTTGCATGTGGATAGAAAATGTTATAGAAAATGTTGTTTTTTTCATACCTACATCAGCTTTCTATTTTTCTTTTGCAGTGGTTGCTTCTGCACGTGCACGGCCTACTCAGCTTCCTGAACAGTCTTCCTCCTCACAACAGAATGGTAGTGTTTCAGATATATCTCCAGTTCAAGCTGCAAAAAAGGAATTTGGACCCCCTTGTATGTAAATCGTGTATTAAAGGATTCATTCGTTCTGGGCATTACATGTACATTCTCTTGGATTATGTTGTTGTCCATAAATGACAAAAAGTCTATATACGCAGTTGTCTGTATGCTTCCTTAAGAAGCTTTTTCAGAGTGCTGTGGCTAAACAAACCTTCAATATTGTCCTAGTCATGCTAACATTTGGAGTTTATTTTTCCTTTGTCTTTTTTTTTTAATCATGGCTGTTCTTTTTTAATTTGCCTATTTCTTTCTTCGAATTCAAACCAAGAGATCACATGTATTTGTCCAAATAATTTTTGAGGATCATTTTGCTTTATTTTTATTTGTGTAATTATTGTCCTGTCACATGATTTTTTTCTAATTAAGTTATTTTATGAATTTTAGAAATTAAGTTGCTGTACTAATTCTATACTAATATAGATTTGCTTGATAAGTTGATATAAATACATAGATTCTAATTATTACTAAATTATTTAATATGATTGTTCTGTTGTAAATAATTCATGCAACAAACTGAAAATATTTTTAAATATTCATCATTTTCTTTAAGCACGTAGAAAATCTAATTGTGTAAAAGAGGTTGAAAAATTGCAAGAGAAACGTGAAAAACGAAGGCTACAGCAGCAAGAACTTAGAGAAAAAAGAGCTCAGGTTAGTATTTCTAGCTTAGAGACAGAAAACGTATTTCAGTAAGAGAAGATGAATGCAGAATTCTTGTGCTTTTTGCAGTCTTCAATAATTTTTATAAACTGTTACAGTCTGCATCCTATATGTATATGTCCTAAATGTTTGCATCCTATATACAATTTGATAATTTTTTTGGTGCATAGTTGCATTGCTTTGGTAACTTATTTTAAATAGTTTTCCCCTCGTCTTGCAGAAATCATTGCTTGTAATTTCTGTAACACCTTATCAATTGTAGTTACTCAAAAATCAAGTACAGGTGATAAATGTTTCTGGGGGCAGATACACTGGCAAGATATAATCAAAACTTTGGCCTTTAGGTAAGGTAGTTATTCTGGGTGAAGTACCACAACATTGTGATAAATTGTTCTATCTGATCCTTGAAGCTTAGTAGAAGTATTTGAGACTCAGGTTTGAATAATGATTTTTTTTTCTTAAAATCTGTCTTAGCTTTGCATCATGCTGGCAACTTGGCAGCAAGTTGTTAGAAACTTCAGTGAAAGAAATGAAGTTGCTAATCCGGTTAGAAAATCTCTTCATATTTAATGACTTTCTGTCACAATTGTGTAAAAGCTTTAGCAAAGCTAGTAGCATAATCTTGTTGACAGACCTCTGTATATGTGTTAGTTTCCCTAAAGTGGTCCTACCAATCCGCTAATGACATAAGAACTACTACGACTAAGCTGACCTAAAATGATGTGTGTGGAATTTGTTTTCTCTTGATTCTCACCCAGTTAAAGAAATAGAAAACATTACTGTGTCTTTGTCTGTGAGAAACAAATATCTTTGTTTTATATACCAAAATTCTTTGACATATTACTACACCTAGAATTTTCTTTCTTTCCTTTTTTTTTTTTCACTTCCAAGAAGACTTTCTTTGCATTTGAGTCTTTAGCTCCCACATGAGGAAGTTTTATTTGTCTTGATAATTTGCTTATCTATTCTTTTGCTTTAGGTGTTCTGTTGTTGTTGTAAAACACAGAAATAATTAGGCAGTCACTGTCCTCAAACAAGGAAGAGCTGTAACTAGAGTTTGAAGAATATTAGGCAAGCACTGTATCCATAAGAAGCAATAGCCATTTCTGTATTGTAGAGGGAAACATTTCAGCATTAATGCATTTTTTCATTCTGCTACTTTTGATAAGTATTTTTTAGTTCACTGTAATCAGAGGGAAAAGCTTACAGGTGCAGTTACCTTCTGATTACCAAGGCACAGATTTATCTGAGTTGAGGATTAACCGTGTCACAGATGCAGAGACTTAAGCTAGTTCTTTGGATTATTAACTCCTTATTCAGTGTTGTGTGAAAGCCCCTATCCCATTTCTACATGCAGTTTTAGCTTCTATAACCAGTCCAGAAGCAGATTTAGCTAATTTTTTGGGTGCTGTGCAAATGTTAGTAAGGTCTGAGCACCAGAGCTAGCCATGTGTGCCATCATTAGGATGCCCTGAAATTGTGTAAAAACTCTTATTTGTCTTTTAACTATATTACTTATGGCTTCAGTTCTAGGGATGGGAAGACTTGCAAGCTTGGACATAGTCTCCTGTATCGTGTATCCTGGGGGTTGCCTTTGTTTTTGTTGGAACTTCAAGTGCTGGAAATATTTTCCAATGTATAAGTAACTTTAGGAATTAACTCAGGAGTTAGCTAGTAATAGGATCAATATCATTTCATAATCAGCTTGGATCCAACAGGGGGTGCGTTTAGAGCTGCTGGGATGTTTGTACTGTATTCTGCAGTGCGTTTTGTAGTATCTCTGTTACTAGAATCTATCCATTTGTCCATTGAACTGCTGTATCTCAGCTTAAAAAAAGAAATAAGCAGAATTGTGTAGCCTATATGTTATTGTGCAGTAGTTCAAAATATTGTGCAGAAATATGAAAATTTCAGCTAATGTGTATTTTTTATAAGTTAATTTTGAAGGTATTTAAACAAATCCATTTCAGAAAAAAAATGTATTATTGGAACTTCTGTTGCTTATTTTCATAGGATGTTGATGCTACAAACCCAAATTATGAGATTATGTGTATGATAAGAGATTTCAGGGGAAGTTTGGATTATAGACCACTAACAACTGCAGATCCTGTAAGTACCATAGGAATTGTGATTTTTTTCAGCCCTTTGTTTCTGATTTTTTTAAAATTTGTTAAAAACTTGAATATACTTGTGTTTATAAATATCAATAGGCAGTTTAATATATTTTAGTATTCTTTATATTGTGATTTTATTTTTTCAGTAACTTGATACTGCAACTAGTAAGCATTGAAGTTATGATATGAAATTAATAATTCTTTTATGAAAAACCTAGTTGAGTATAAAGATTGATATTCAGTCTTTGAAGTCTTTGATTTACAAAGAAGCTGGAAGAGAAGAATTCTGAAATGAAGTTGAATATCTCTGTATAAATCAATATGATCCTGACAATTTCCATTGTTAGCATATCTACGCTAATACAACTGTATTTTTTGGTTATGTTTCAAGATGTACCTAGTATTCTATAGCATCCTCTATAGAATAGGCATCTAGATGCAAGGGAGTATTTTTTTTTTCTTCATTTATGGTTTTCCCTTTTTGGTTCATGTTTATTGTGCAGATACTTTTGCAAGATCAGGTGACTCATTGTCTTGTAAATGTCTCTTCATTTACCTTTTAATTCATTTAAAAAGTAGAGATAAAATATTGTCTAACTGGTATTAGGGTGTAATTCACTGAAAGATTCTTTTCTTTTTAGATTGATGAACACAGGATATGTGTTTGTGTACGAAAACGACCACTCAATAAAAAAGGTATGACCATATATATTTTTTGCAGGGATTTTTCTCTGGAAAGCTACTTCTGATAATATTATTTATATTAAGAGATGTAAAAATGCCAGTCACATACTGAAATGCTAGTTGGTATGAATGACAGAATGAAAAAATGCATAGATTTATAGATAACTAGATAAAGACTGGGTGAAAAGTTATCGCTGTTTTATAGGTGGGAAGCCAAGGCACAGAGAGCAGTACATTTTTTCTTCCAAGGTCATCTAAGATGTATTTAGTTGATCTGGAAATCAATTCAGCTGGAATCTCCTGACCAGTTTTATTCTACTTTAGGAATATAATTCTTTTTAAGTGTATCTTAACCACCCTTTAAATGATGTCCTGATCAGTGAGCTACCCAACAATTTTTTTCCACACATTTTTACACGTATCTTTATAGTTCCAAGTGGCCTTGAATCAAACATTGCAGGAATAATTAGGGTTCCTTAAACAGAGGTATCTTATGACATGATGGTACCCAAGGGTATCCAAGACATTCTCACGGGGATAGTGGATTACAGACAAATTGGAGACTTGTATCTCCTGAAGTTGTAGCTTAGGGCTGGACATATAAAATGGCACTAAACACTATAGGTATTGGAATCAGTCCCTACTAGGTTGTTTGGATATATAGGAACATTGTGAAGTTTTTCTTACTGTCTGTTCACCAAACTAGTGTTTTTATTCCAGGAAAGCATTTAGGGTTTCAATTCTTATTGAATCCTGCAAAGTTTCTCCATGAAATTCTCTACTTCCACTTGTAAATTATGAATTGCACTTTCTTCTGAATTAGAACCTATCTGAATTCAGTAAAGCTGATTTTCACTTTGAAACACATTTATTTCCCTCTCTTTTTGTTAGCTAAAGGGTTCAGTATCACTGTAACTCTGAAAAAACATAGGATGTATTTATTGTTCTTGTACTCTCAGAAGTAGACATTAAGGAATTCTTTAGCAAGCATATCTGGGGCGGGGGTATGGGAGGACTTTATGGGAAAAGGAAAAGATAAATTGATGTTAGTGTATAGATAGATTAGATAGGTTTTTTTTTCTTAGTTTTTCCCTCCATGTTGTTGCTTTCCTGACTCTTTTTACTTTTTTTTTTTTTTAATTCCCCATATTTTCCTGTCCTCCTCTTTTTATTTCACCTAAAAGGAATGAATAGCTACCAAATTCGGTTAATTGTAACTTGTGCATAATCTGTGTAATCAGGGCATTCAACACACAGTTCCTATAGTTCAATTTTGATTTTAGTATTTTAGGTTATCTTGAATGAAGTGTGGCTTAGCAATCCATTAAAACTGGGGGAAGGCTACCTTCTATCTGTACTGAAGTTAAGAAAGGGAAATTACCATAAGTGACAATAAGCTGTCATGAAGCATGAGTTATAATTCAAAAGTGGGTTTTGATTGTGTGCAAGTTGCATATATTAGATATTGATGACTTGGAGCCTGTTGTGAAAACAGTTCTAAGAAGTTTGTAGGAAGATGAGTGTCTAAGTGAAAAATGAGCTTGAGACTAAAGTAACTTTGCATTCTTAAGAGTAAATTATAATGCAGAGGAATTAATGAACATGCACTTAAATTTCGAAAGTTCACAAGAAACCGTATTTCTCAATCCACGTGTTAAAATTGAAGAATTAAAAAAAGAATTAAAGATGTCAGTGCTTAGTTCCTTGAAGAGGAAGAATACAAATACGTTGTTTCCTTTATTATTACAGTAGTAACATGCCAAAAACATAGTTTTTCCCTTTTCATGTTCTGTATTTTGAAGTGATGTAAGGTGTTCAAATCATGTGTAATCATGTTTAAATCAGATGTAAAAAAAGTAGTTTTTGTCAGTTTTACAAACATGGTATCCTCATCAAAGTCTTCAGGCATTGTCAGCACTAATTGTTGATTGAGGAGTATACAGGGATTTTCAGAGACATTATTCTAAATTTTCGTCAGCGAGAAACATATTGTCACAACAAATTGCTGGGAGGAGGTAAATGTCTTATTGCAAACAATCATTTAAGAAAAAAATGTTGACTGCTTTAGCTAAAACCTTTTGCTGCAAAGAATTGAGCTTCATATATCTGTTTTCACTAATGTTCTTTGTTTTTCCTCTATGATTACTGCAGAAAAATTACATTTTATTTTATGGCAGTACAGTTGAAATTTGATTATATAGAGGCATGAATGCATACTCCTGCTTGTGTGTAATGTCATGCAATGGTAACCATGGTACTGTTTGGTCAGTATGCTTACATATAATTTCTATCTGATTTTATAAAGTCACATCAAATTGTTGAATTGTATGCCTTAAGAAATTTTACATAGAAATGCAAGTAGGACACATTAGCGATCTTGACTATATGTACAAAGGATCTTTATTTTTGTGCATATCATGGCTCAGTGAATTCTCTATGTTTTGCTGACTTGTATCTCATGCAATTAGCTGTAAATTGTAGGGCTGTGTAGTAATTATAACCTGGGAACTCGGCATTGAAATCGCATCTAGATGGCTTTTGTTCACTTCCAGTGATGGGAAGCATCATTAGTTTTTTCATCTTTTTCTGCTTACGAGACAATTATTATGAAGCATTTTGATCTGAAATATTTCTGTAGTAATGACTTAAAATTTTGG